ACGTCTACTGTGTGTAATGTCCCTCTATCCTGACGTCTACTGTGTGTCATGCTGATAACTTTGCCCCATCTTGGAGGCCACATAAATAAAACTACTGATGCACTTTTGTGGTCTTTTAGATAGATTCATTGAAGAGATAACCCCAAATGGCATTATGGAATTTGGGCAGCAACCAAGCTGGCTCCTTCCAGCTGGATGGTGTCATTGAGTATGGCTCTCAGGGTACATCTCCCACCAACGGGATGAGATGCTGGGGTCACTGGGTGTGGCTCTCAGGGTACATCTTCCACCAACAGGATGAGATGCTGGGATCACAGAATGTGGCTCTCAGGGTACATCTCCCACCAACGGGATGAGATGCTGGGGTCACTGAGTGTGGCACTCAGGGTACATCTCCCACCAACGGGATGAGATGCTAAGGTCACCAGGTGTGGCTCTCAGGGTACATCTCCTACCAACGTGATAAGATGCAGTTACCACCTATGTCGGGGCTAAAAGGCAGAGGCTATCTTGGTTGAGTATGCTCACTAGCCCAGTCTGGATTCTGGCATACCCTTTTTTATAAAAAAGTTGTCTTGGCAAGTGTCTTTAACTTTGTTATTTTTTCCTCAGCATTTACTCCTAAGTGGTCTATCCACGTCTGCTGCCAAGCAGTAGCACAAGCTGCCTGAGACGCTGGGAGCGTTTGTCCTATTTACAAAGAAAATGTGCTGCTCCTGGTCATGTGTAAAATAAAGTTTGTTTTCAGTCGTGGTGGTGGTGGGGTCAGGAGTGTCTGAGCATCCGAGACACCCGTGGGCTGTTTCCCCAGTTGTGTGGGAAACAGCAACTCACACGCCTGCCATGCATAAAGATTAGAGCTGAGAACTTCTGGTCCATAAGCTGAGCTAATACACATGAATATAGCTATGTCAGCCTTTTAAAAGCGGGCCAAAGATGCTAAGCATGGCACATTTAGGCTCCTCTGGACATGGAGACAGTGGCATGTGCCTGCAGCGTCCCAGCCCCCATTAGCATCCTACCAGAGACCAAACCTGTGAGTCTGGAACAGACTCCTAGTACCAGGACTCCAGAAAGGTGAAAATCCCAGATTAGTCCTTCATCCCTGGAGATGGTCCTGGGACTCCCTGCTGCCACAGAGACAGATACCCAACAGATAGCCTGCCACCGAAGGCCACCGGTGGGTGGGGACATCTCAGTGAGACGTGCCCCTCCCCTCACATTAGAGAAACCTGGCCCACAGGCTCCTGCTGTGGGACCTCTCCCTCCTCTGAGATCTGTAAGAAGGGTCCCACTCTGTCTTAGCAGAGCCCTATCATGCTGTCTGTCTGTCTGTCCATGCTGTTACTAACTCTTCTGTAATCCAAAGGTCAGTCTGATCTGGTGTCCCTATGAGCCCTGCACCTGAGACCTTTCTCTTAATCTTCCAAAAGGTAAGCCGGATTCAAGTATCCAGCTGTGCTCTCATTTTCAATAGCCAGAGCCACCCAGCCACACCGCTCCCCAGTTCCAGGCTCACATCGCCCATGGAATGTGATGTACATCTGCTGAGCGCAGGCATTCTGAGGTTTCGAAAACGAATACCCCAACTGGCAGAATATAAAATGAATGTGGATGCATTGCCAGATTTTACACCCTGGAAACGCCCGAGAAGGGAAACCACTCTGTGAAGACGACTGCATTTAGTTCACGGGACAACTGTCAATGATCACACTTTAAAAGCTAGGTTCCACCTAGCTTGGGGCACACAAACCTTTAATCCCTGCACTTGGGAGGCAGAGCAGGTGGATCTCTATGAGTTCAAGGCCAGCCTGGGCTATGTACCGAGTCCCAGGCTAGTCAGGTCTTTGCAGTCAGAGAATTTCTCAAACTGTTTTTAACATAGTGTGTGGACAATCTGCCCCGGTGTTCCCCAGACCTGGGCCTGGTACAACACAGTAGTTTTACAAAAATGAAAGGGGTGAAAAACCAAAAAACCTAAATAGTAGCAATAAGTAACCATGGGGCAATTTCTTCTCTCTCTCTCTCTCTCTCTCTCTCTCTCTCTCTCTCTCTCTCTCT